AGGCAAATCCCACCCCCCTCCCTCCCCGTTCCCCCTCCCACTCCCTTATAGCCTCTGCCCTCCCCCTCCCCCCAAACACTGCCCAGCCCTCACAATACAATCTGTGATTTACAGTCTCCTGCTTTTAGGCTCTGACCCCTCTGTTCAGTGCATGGGGCTGAACAGGGGCCTGCCCTGGTTCCTGGGCAGGATTCGGTGTCACACCAGAGTCACTGGGAGCAGCAGCAGGGAAGGAATCGAGCGGGCCCGTGTGTATTATTCATTGGTTCCGTTCAGTTCGGCTTTGGTCAATTAAACAACGTTATGAATCGGGTCCAGCTCCACACCGAGTGCAGAGGGCCAATGAGCTCAGCATGAGCTGGGCTGACTGAGGGCTGGAGGGGCAGCACAGGGGGGGTGGGTGACTGGCTGCCCCCGGCAGAGGGCTCTGGTCATTGCTAAGGCTGAGGGGGCCGGTGTCAGTCTCTGTGCTCAGGACACTGGCACCTTAGAGCCAACACGCAAGGCCCCTTTGTGATCAGGGGGCCTGGGCTGAGCATCTGCTGCCCCGCAGGGTTTGTGTTGGGAGCCACTCTGGGCAAGCCCCAGCTCTGCCATGGACTCCCAAGTGAGGAGAGAGAGCTGGGGGTAAGTGCTGGGGCAGGGCAGGGAAGGCACTCTGCACAAACCTCCTTGCCCCGGCTCTGTTCCCAGATGTCTGAGAGTCCCAGAGCTACTGGCCTGGGTGCATCCTGTCTCCCACTCCTGTGAGCTGGGACAGTCGCTAGAGGAGGGGAAATGCCCCAGAAATGACAGGGCAGTAACCAGATCTTCCCTGCAGGAGTGAGAAGGGGAGAGCCTGGCAAGGGCAGGACTTGAGAACAGCCAGACCAAAGGTCCATCTCGCCCAGTATCCTGTCTGCTGACACGCAACAGATAATCATCACCTGTTCCCTCTCCTGTCATCCATTTCCAGAGAAACAGAGGCTAGGGACACCTTTTCTACCCATCCTGGCTAATAGGCACTGATGGACCTCCATAAATCTATCTAGCTCTTTTGAACCCTGTTAAAGTTTTAGTCTTCACCACATCCTCTGGCAAGGAGTTCCACAGGTTGACGGTGCACTGAGTGAAGAAAATCTTCATTTTGTTTGTTTTAAACCTGTTGCCTATTCATTTCATATGGTGACCTGCCAAATTTCATTTGGCAGCAGGCATAAGAAGTAGGAAGAGAGGTTCCCAGTTCTACCCACTCCACCCAGCTCCATTCCCTGCAGCCCCTTTCCTCGAGCAGATTGACTGTCCTGGGAAGAAGAAGAGAGGAAAATCCAGTTCCTGTTGCGCTGGGGAATGCGGTGCTCTGGCAAGGAACTGTCAGGGGATCCCCCAAAGTGGCTCCATTGGTTCTGCCCCTTTCTAGGGTGTGGTTCAGAGATTGTTCCTGGCAGGGTTTGAAAACGTCTCCTGAGAGTATTCCCAGCAGGAGGGGACTGGTCTTGGTTGTTCTGAATCACTGAGGGTTTCCCAGCATGGCGGAGGCTAGAGTGTCTGTCTTCAGGGAAAGCGCCTGGGGGGACCTGGAGTGTGACATGGACTCAGGCTAATTACGACCCCATTTTACTCCAGAAGAATAACGACCAGAAGAATAACGACCCCATTTTACTCCAGATCTTCCCATCTCCCCAGGGAAATGGCTGTGCTGGAGCCGACTCAGGTAGGGGGGTTCTGGAGGGATCTTCTGGGGAGGGTTGCTGTAGAGGGGGAGGGGCAGAAAATACCCAGGGAGGGGACAGGGAGTGATAAACCTGCGGAGACATGCTCAGCCTAGGGCTGTGGTTCTCAACTGGTGGTCCATGGTGACTTTTTCGGTGGTCCCCAGGAACATTGTCCAAAGTCACACGGCGTGAGCAGGCGCCACCGTTAATCTGCTTTACGCCGTGTTCACAAGCACGTGGCATGTCCTCCTTAGTGTCACCTGCAAGAAGAATTCTTGGACCTGAAAAATGATTTTGCGGCTCAAGACGTGTACCAGCAGTCTACCATAGAGAAATTTTGGGTCAGCGTGACCGAGCGGGAGTTACCCAAATCTGTCAGCACACGCAGTCAGATTTCTTTTGCCATTTGCATCAGCTTATGCAAACACTGGATTTCTGTGTCTGTTGCACATTCAGTCCAAAGAGAGGAATCGGCTTGCAGTGGAAAGCGGTACCACTCCAAACACTGAAAAGCTTGTCAGCGAGAAGAGAATCCAAAAATCTCTTAGTAAGAAATAAATTTCAAACCAAAATGTTTATTGTCTGCTCTTTTTTATCATGTCTCAAAAAGAAGGTGGTCCACGAACATTTTTTGATTGGCCTGGTGATCTGTGGACTGAAACAAGTTGAGAACCACTGGCCCAGGGCCTGATTTATGAACAGATCCAAAGGGGGAGGGGAGGGAGGAGTGAACATCCCCCCCCCCATTTCCCAATCGAGAAACACCGACACTGGGTAGAGCAGGGAAAATGGACCAGAGCACTGGAGCGTGAACCCACTACCTGGAATGAGGAGATGTTGGGATCCCTCTCCCCTGCCCAGAGCTCTGCTTCCCACAGCTAGTATTGGTGGCAAATAGGATTAGCTCCGGCTGCTGGGTGGGACAAGGAGCTCTCCCTTTTCTTTGTTCCCTGCAGTCCCCTGGGCTCTCTGAGCAAGGTGGGGCTGGCTCTTCTGACCTCCTAGAGCTGCCCTATCTTTGTGCTGCTTCCCCCATGACTGGGGGTTGTGGCTGGGGGGACAGGTACTGAGTGGGGGTCCTTGTTGTTTCAGATGCGGGTGACCTTCGAGGAGGTGGCTGTGTATTTCACCGTGGGGCAGGGGGCTCTGCTGGACCCCGCTCAGAGAGCCCTCTACAGGGACGTCATGCAGGAGAACTACGAGACTGTGGCCTCACTGGGTAAGGATTCCTGTCCCCTCAGCTAGCAAAGCCCTGGGGCCGGCATTTCTGTATCTGGTCAGGTTCTTTCCTGGTCAGTTACATGAGAGGGAGGGTGGGTCACAGTCTACAGCCCCAGTGTGTGAGAGCCATTCACCTCCATGCCTCCTTCCGCAGGAGACATGTTAATTCATCCCCTCCCCTCTCCTCCAGCTGTTCCTGGGGCCGGAGCAGTGTATGATCCTCTCTGCGTTAATTGTCACGTGCGCACACAAGATCTCGGTGCATCTTCCTTCCTGGGACTGGCTCCATCTGTGGGGAGAGCTCTGGGGGTTCTGGCATAGGCAGAGTTTTAACTGCAGAGCTGTGTGTGCCTCAGCCAGTCCCCTGCACACGCAGATCCTGACAATTCCCCCACCACCACCACAGACATCCCCTCTCCCACAACCCTCAGGAAAGTCACGGCGTGAGTTTAAACTCCAGGGCTATGTCTAGACTGGCCAGTTTTTCCGGAAAATCAGCCGCTTTTCTAGAAAAACTTGCCAGCTGTCTACACTGGCCGCTTGAATTTCCGCAAAAGCACTGACTTCCTACTGTCTGAAATCAGTGCCTTTTGCAGAAATACTATGCTGCTCCCATTCGGGCAAAAGTCCCTTTTGCGCAAAACTTTTGCACAAAAGGGCCAATGTAGACAACTGAGATTTGTTTTGCGCAAAAAAGCCCCGATCGCAAAAATGGCGATTGGGGCTTTTTTGCAGAAAAGCTCGTTTAGATTGGCCACGGACGCTTTTCCGCAAAAAATGCTCTTGCGGAAAAGCGTCCTGCCAATCTAGATGCTCTTTTCCAAAAATGCTTTTAACGGAAAACTTTTCTGCTAAAAGCATTTCCGGAAAATCATGCCAGTGTAGACATAGCCCAGCTGTGCCCTTTGTGAGAAATAGAGCCCCAGGCTTCAGTCCCCTCAGCTCAGGCCTGATTTCATCCCCGAGCAGGACTCCCCGTTCCCAAACCTGCCCTGATCGCCCGGCTGGAAGCAGGGGAAGAGCTGTGGGTCCCGGATCTCCAGACCTCCGAGGAAAGGAAGATCCCAAGAGGCTCCAGTGAGGCAGGTGAGGGGTCAGTGACACTGACACAAAAAGTATCCGACAAATGGAGGAAAAAGCTGAAATTCCCCCACGCGTGGTGTGAATCCCCTGAGCTCTGACCTCCTCTTGCCCAGGTCAGGTTGTGAGCAGCAGGGGCCAATCCTTGCTTCCTAGCCCCCTGTTTACTGTCAGGAGTTTTCTCCTTGTCTTCACTTTCTTGGGAGGGTTTGGATGGGATGTGAAGGCAGAATTGAATATCTCAGTTTCCCCTACAGTGACTGTTGTGCTTCCCCCTTTGCTATTCCCCTTTCTGTCCTTTGTACCAACCCAGACAATGACACCTTGCTTGGATTAATTCTTTCCCCCAGCAGGTGATGAGACCATGAGTGAGAATAAGGAGAATAATCCACAGCAGGAAGGTGCTAAAAAACACAGGTCAGAGAGGAAACTGGGAAAGTGTGCATGGAAGAAAGTGGCCCAATCAACTGAATGTAGTGGAAGAGGCAAGGATCCCAAAGAATCCACAGCTCAGCAGGCAAATCCCAAGGAAAAGAAATCTTATAAATGCTTTGACTGTGGCAGTCTCTTCAGTTACCCCTCAGTCCTCAATAATCATAGGAGAATCCATACAGGGGAGAGACCTTTTAAATGCCTTGAGTGCGGGAAAAGCTTCAATCACAACTCAAATCTTATTACCCACCAGAAAGTGCACACAGGGGAGAGACCCTATAAATGTTTGGACTGTGGGATTAGCTTCAGTTACCGTTCAGTCTTTCTTAAGCACAGGAGAATCCATACAGGGGAGAGACCTTATAAATGCCTAGAGTGTGGGAAAAGTTACAGACGAAGTTCATATCTTTCTACACATCAGAGAGTGCACACGGGAGAGAGACCCTATAAATGCTTGGAGTGTGGGAAAACCTTCAGTGTGAGCACAAATCTTAACAGGCATCAGAGAGAGCACACGGGAAAGAGACCGTATACATGCCTTGACTGTGGGAAAAGCTTCAGTCGGCGCTCAAGTCTTAATAGACATCGGATATTGCACATGGAAGAGAGAGCCTAGAAATGCTGAGCGTGTGAGATGAAAGCTCACTACACCTCAAAGAATCTAGACACTAGAGAAATAAAAGTATACATTTATGGATTTTTAAATGCCTTGAGACTGGAACAAGTTCCATGCAATGATCAAATCTTGGTTCAGAAAAGACAAGCTACAGACTGGAGAGAGCCCAGACCTGCTTGGATTGTGGGAAAGACTTCAGTAACTGCTGGAAGAGACACAGTCAGAGATCCTGATGGGTACGTCTACACTGCATGCTTAATTCAGAATAAGCTATTCCAGAAAAAATACTCTGAAATAGCATATTTCGAAATAGCACATCTACACTACAGGGAAGCCTCGAAATTAGTGCAAGGCTGGCTCCCCTCATGTGGACTTGCTACCTCGATGTAGAGCCCCAGGAAGCATTAGAGAGTAATTACTGTGAATGGCCCTTAGGAGGAGCTATTCTGAAATAGCAGTAGTATGGATGCTCCACTGCTTCTATTTCAAAATAGCTATTTCAGAAGAGGTCTTACTCCTCGGGGAATGAGGTGTCCAGAAGTTGGAATAAGCCATCCGTTATTTTGGATCTGTTTTGAAATAACAGAAGTGCTGTGTAGTTGTTGGCTGCCTGGGGGCGAAGGGAGCCCAGTTGGTCTGCGGGCTAGCGCCCCCCCACCCTCACCCTTTTCTTCAAGATGGATTGTGCTGACTGGTCCTAGTTCCTGTAACAAGAAATCTGGGCTACGCTGTGTCCCTGTGAACCAATAAACGTCTGTTCTACCTGCCGGCTGAGAATCACGTGTGACTGTGGATGTGGGTGCGGGGCCCGGTGACTCCCCTGCACTCCGTGACAGCTAGGGACACCCTCCCAGGGCCAGGGTGCGGGTGGGAAACTTACTCCCAGGGCCAGGCAGAACAGGGGAGCTGGGGAACACTCTCCTAGAGCCGGGTGGGGGTGGGGAGGGGACTGGGGAACACACTCCAAGGGCCTGGCTGGATGAGGAGCTGGATGAGGAGCTAGGGAACACACTCCAAAGGCCACACTCCGTGACAGCTAGGGACACCCTCCCAGGGCCAGGGTGCGGGTGGGAAACTTACTCCCAGGGCCAGGCAGAACAGGGGAGCTGGGGAACACTCTCCTAGAGCCGGGTGGGGGTGGGGAGGGGACTGGGGAACACACTCCAAGGGCCTGGCTGGATGAGGAGCTGGATGAGGAGCTAGGGAACACACTCCAAAGGCCAGGTGTGTGTGTGGCAGGGGGCTAGGAACACACTCCAAGGGCCGGGTGGGAGACTGGGAACATACCCCCAGGGCCAGGCAGGGCTGGGGGGGAAGGGGAGCTGGGCTGGGAAGCACACAACCAGGGCCAGGTGGGGGCTGGGGAACACACTCCCAGGGCCAGGCTAGGTGGGGGAGGGGGGGGGGAG